GATGGGAATTTCAGGCTGACTAATCGCCACCGCCTGCTGGAGGGGGTGGGGGAGTGGGAGGAACCGAAGCCCGGGGGGACGATCCCAGGGTGCTAGTGCGTCCGAGCTGCTGCCTGGGTTTCAGTTTCAGCCTTGGCTGACACTTTCCTCCGCCGAGTGGAATCGCTTTGCTTCCCCCGCAGCCCCTCTCCCTCCCCCGCTGCCCCCCTTTTGCACTGCTGGCCTCCCTCAGTCAAGCCCTTCGCTTCGAGAGATGGGAAGATAATTTGGCAGCCAGCGGGGGGGGGGGGGGATGTACACGTAGACACCCTCCGACGCACAGGCTCACAGCCCCGCTGCCTTGCAGACACACACTTGCACACGCCCTCCACAAACACACAGGCACGCGCGACGGGGCTCGCCATGCACATCGGAGCGCCGAGCACTCGCCCGCCCGCATGCACGCACGCACCACACGCACGCAGGCACGCACGCAACCGGCCGGCCCCGGGGTTGCGGCCTCGCCTCGCCTCGCCGCTGGCTGTGAGAGCCGCCCAGGCACACATGGGTGGGGGAGGCCCAGCCAGAGGCCTCTCCCCCGCACAGACCCACACGCACACCGGCACGAGTTGGAGATGGCTTCCTCAAAAGAGAGCTGGAAAGTTTGCTGCCAGCGAAGGGGCCTAGACATTCCGCGAAATGACTCACACTGCACCTTGTGGACATTAAATGTTGTCTTTTTCTGCGTTAAACACCAACAACCAAGAAGCCTCACCCCCTGCCGTGGGGGCAGGGTGAAGTGGAGGAGCTCTCCCGTCGGGCCTCCGCCTCCGCCAGTGGGGCAGTCCTGAGAGAGCAGAATCTCCTACCTCCTGGTTCATACCTCAGGCCAGGCCTGCCTCTTGGCAGGATGCCAACTGGGTGAACTTGGGGAGCCAGGATGCCTTCCACAGGCTGCCCCCCCCCAGCCCACTTCATTCCCCCATCCTGGGCCCCTGCGGTCTGGCTGGTGTCCCCCTGTGGGGTTTCCCAGCCTGAGCCCTTCCCGATGGCTCCTGCTGATCAAGACAGTCTGTCTTTACTGCCATCGCCTCTTTATTGCACAACTCCAGGGGGCGCCATTCACCTTCTAGATCATGTAGGGCCCCATGAGATGTGACCGGAACCCCCTCCCTTCACCTGGCCCTCTTTTTCCTCTACTTGTGTCCCCATCCCCCAGCCACCACCCCCCACCCCGCAGAAGTCACATGGTGCTCCCTCTGGCAAAACATCCTTGACATCCTGGTCCACCTGCACTGGCTGCAGACAGATCGCTCAAGGCCAGGGCCACCCCCCACCCCCAGCTTCACACTGAGGACACATTAGAGATCAGAGAGACACAAGATAGGTGTCCAGACAACAGATGCTGAGGCCTGAGAGATTAACTCTGGTTGCGCTGGACAATGGCCCACAACCCCTGGTTGCTGCCTTGCCTGATAAGTGCCCAGAGCAGGTGCCTGCCCCTCTGCCCATGCCCCAGGCACTTTTCCCGGGCTGAGCTCTGGCTCTAAGATAAGGACTGCGAACCAGTGGGGTTGGAGGCTCTATGGGGCTTGTCGTCATTTGCGGAATGCTGTCTGAAGTCACTTCTTCCTTGTTTTTGTTTTTCCGAATGAACTACAAGCTTGGGTCGCTGCCTTCCCCGATTCCTCCAAATCTCTCACCATTCCAGAGGGGCAGCCCAAGGGGCACTGATCTGTGGCCCCAGCACCAGCCCGCCCTCCCAGCAACCACCCTGCCCGTGGTTGTCACACTGAGCGTCCCACGCACCCACCGCCACCCAGGGCCCCACAGCACCTCCTTTCAGGCCGGCATCTTCCTTCAGGAGCGCGGCCTCCCCCGCCCCGCCCAGCTGCTGCTCAGCTCACAAAGAAGTGAAACCCAGCGGTCCTCGGAAGTTTTGCAGGGGCTCTCATGGTGGTGCCTGGGGCCAGCCTGAAAGGGAGACAGGCACCGCCCCATTTTCATCACTGTCAGCTGAGTCAGATGGGGGCATCAAGTGGTTTTGCAAGAACCCCAGACAGGCATGCTTCCCCAGGTAGGTGGCTGGCCAGGTGAAAGGCACGGTTCGGGACGTTGCTACCGTCCATGTCCATCCGTCTGCATGCCAGTGTTTTAGCCTGGCACACTCCCCCCACCCCGCCCCTCCCCTCCCCATTCAGGCCAGAGTAAGAAACTGCCACCCAGGAAGAGGAGTGTTGCTTTAACCTATCCCAGGGAGTTTTACTCCATAGCTACGCAGCAAGCTTTTCAGAATAAACCCTTCTTACGTGGGCCAGCCACCACCTCCTGGGACTTGGAGACTTCTGCCCGTCACTTGCCTAACCCAGAGGCTTGTTCTGTAACACCAATGGATGCAAACGTGGATAACTGCACACAACGGAAAGTGGCTGCCGGCTTCTTCGTGGAAAGGAGGCCGCTCGGCTCCTGCAGGCCTCCGGGTCTGAGGCCTGAGGCCTGAGAGCAGCGAGTTGGGGTTGGAGAGTGGGGGAATCCGGACTGGCAGGAGAGAGGCTGAGCATGGCATCCGTGGGCAACTCGACAAGGGGAATTCCTGCCAACTCAGGGAAGGAGCTGCTGGCGGAGGAGACAGCGTGGCTGTCGCCAGGAGAGTGGTGATCTCAGCCTGGCTGGGGCTCACCCTCGGGGTGAGTGAGGAGTGAGGAACCAGGTGGGGAAGCGCTGGCAGGCTGCGTGGTAGCAGGGCCGTGGGGAAGGGCGGCCAGCAAGGTCATCTGGGAGGCCCATGGTTCCCCAAGGTGAGGTCAGTACAAGATTTTCTACGAGGGGGTGGGGTTTGCTTTGGCTACCACTGCGAGATCATGAGAGTGTGGTTAGATCCGTGGCTGGGGAAGGTGGGAACTTCTGGGATTCCCACCAGCTCCGGACTGCAGGTCCCTGGCAGACTTTAGGGTCAGTCACCATGACCTGGTCACCAGTGCTGACCTCTCTGTCCCTGCCCTTCGGAAGAGGAAGCCCTCTCTTGACGCTCTGCCTTGCACCTTGCTGTAAACCACACACACTCACAGGAGCCGTCCACCATTAGACCTCGGCCGCTTCCGCCCCCGGGCCCTGGCCCTGGCACACTTTCTCCCCAGGAGCTGGGTTGAGAGAGCGAAATGGGGGTGAAGATGAGGCTGAGGAGAGCTAACATTTATTTACCGAGCACTTACCACATACCAGGTTCTCTCAGTCCGTCCTCACCACAGCCTTGTGTGGCAGGTTCTTATTATTCCCAATTGAAAACTTGGGAAAGTGAGGCTCAGAGAGCTGAAGTAACCTGCCCAAAGCCACACAGCTGCAATGGGAACCCAGATCTGTCTGATGTTAGAAACCACTGAGCTTTTAGCAAAATGGGAAAGTCTGTGTGTGTGTGTGTGTGTGTGTGTATTAGTGAGTTTTGAGGTCAAGCTAAAGGGGGGGCATAGGGATGTCTTGTAGCTACCATGGATTTAAGAGGAGGAGTCTCACAGGTGGGTGAGAGGCCAGCAGAGAACTGTGCGTCTTCAGTGTGCAGAGTCCCTGGAGAAAGTGTGCCTACTTGTCCAAAAGACCAAAACAACAACAACAGCAAAAGTGGAAATTTGCTCTTGCTGCTTGTTTCCGGGGCCTGGCTGTGGGCAGCCAAGAGGTCTCAGGGGCCAGTGGCCCAGGTCAGCCCCGTGCTCTTTCCTCGGCAACCTGTAATGTGCAGCCACCTTGCTGCCATCATCTCCCACCCCTCCTGTCCCCCAGTCCTGTGCCCAGGCTGGGGGAGCAGGCAGATGCTGGTAGCTGAGCAGGTAGGTCCCTGAACCTTAGGCCCTTTGGCTCCCCCACCATTTAGGACTCTTCCCATCCCCCACTGTGGCGGGAGCGGGGGGGGGGGGGGGCCTTCAGCTTTGCTGCTTACTGCCAAGGCTAAGGCCTGGCTGGGCTCCTCCCCAAGACCTTGTGGAGCTATCAGGAGTGACAATTCCTAGCAGCCTCTTCTCCCAGTGCCTCCTAGTTGTAGGACCAGGTATGGGCACCAAGGAAGGTCAGAGGAGGGAGAAAAGGAGACACAGAATGGGAGACCCGGGTTCAAGTGGGTGCCTGGAATACAGTGGCCTGGCTTTGAACTGGAGGGAAAGAGTGGGCATGGGCTTTCTCCCAGCACCCCAACTCTGCAGCCTTTACACCTGCTGGGCCAGCCCTAGGCTCACTTCCCTAGTTCCCCAAAACCTCCCAGCCTTCCACGATGTCCTTGGCTCTATTGCTTCCGAATAATATTCCCTGGGCATCTCCCGGTGGCCTCCTTCACTGCCCTGCCCGCCCTCCTGCGGGGGGTCCCTAGGCAGCAGGCGCTCAAGAACACCGCGTGCACACTTTCGGGGTCTTAGGGGTCAAGCGAGCAAGAGCGTAGGGCACTGGCCCAGGGAGCCGGCCACAGCCTTCCAGCGTCCTTGGGGACATTGTGTGGGGGCTTCCCGCCGGGAAGGGCTAAGTCGGGGCTGAGTGCCACGTGAGCGGAGTTGGGGGTGGGGGTGCCGGCCAGGGCAGCGGCACGCGACGTGGGCTTTGCGGGAGCCCTGCCTCCGCTGTACCTCTGGGGGGCGAGCGAGCTGCGAGGGGAAGGAGAGGCGGCGCGGGCCCCTGGCACCGCTCCCCTTTGCCGTGCTGGCGACCGCTGCGGGCCGGGGGTGGAGGGGCGCTGTTTCCACCGACAAGCCTTGTCCCTCCCTCGCTCCCTCCCCACCCCGCCCGCCCGTGGTCCCTCCCGTCGGTCCCTCCCTCCCGCCCTGCCTCGTTCGCGCCCGCCCCAGACGCCGCCTGCCGGGACGTGTGTGTGTCTCTCTAGTGCAATTTCCCCAATACTTCGCCTCTCTCTAGCGTAGGTCTCCGCTGGCTCGCGCCCCCTCCACGGGCGCCCCGCCGCCCCTTCCCTGGGCCCGGCCCTGCCCCACGTCCACCCAGATCCCCCAGGGCTCCACCCCGCCCCCCACGGGTCGCCCCCCCCCCCCCCCGGCTCGATTTATCAGGGGCGCCGCCGCCTCACCTGGCATTTGCATCTCGCCCTCCAACTTGCCATTGGCGGCGCGACGTGTGGGAGAGCCCTGCGCCTCGCCCGCCCGGACCAGCCTGCCCCGGCGCCGAGGTGAGTCACGGGCGCGGGGCGGCGGGGGCAGGCGGGCAGGGAGCAAAGGAGGGAGGGAAGGAGGGAGGGAGGGAGCGAGGGGGACCGCGGCCCCGGCGGCGGCCGCGGGGACGGACCGGGCGCCGCGCTCAACTTCCACTTCTCCTTTCGCCGGCGCCACTTGCCGGCCGGGCGTCCGAGGGGAGCAGGCGGGCTGGCGGGGCTGAGGACCCGCTTGTCGGTCCCTGGAGCGGACCACGGCGACCCGAAAAGCCACTCGGCCTCAGGTACGTCGATGGCGCCGGCTCTTCGAGCTTTCAGGGACCTCGAAAAGTTTGCCTGAGGGCGGGATCGAGGACGCTGGGGCCCCGGAGTGGGGCTAGGGGGCCGGGAAAGGGTGGAAAAGCCGCAGTGTGCCGAGTGTCGCCCTGGCCTCGCCCTACCGCGTGTTAAGTGTTGGGGAACGTGGGCTTCTGATCCAGGACCAGATTTGGACTCGATTCTCGGAGTCGACGTGGAGAGCCAGCTTTTCCCGCTCCCCGGGGCAGCCCGGATTCCGTGGCGGGGGGCCCCCCAAAGCTCCCTGCCCGAAGGCAGGAGGTTGGGCGGATTGTGGAGGGGCGGCGATTGATCGGGCGGAGGCGCGAGCGCGCGTCTAGGGCCAGGAGCTTTAGGGTCTCATACACGCACACTAACCCAGAACTTGGAGAATTGGATCGTCAAAAAAGAGACCTCTTGGCAGGGGCCGGAGTTTCCGTGTGAGCCAGCCGCCAGCCTTCCAGCTCCCGCGTTCCCGCTCACCCCGCTTCTCCCGCCCCTCAGTTTCCTCCCCGGCTGCCGCCCAGGCGACTCAGCAATCCGCGCGGGCGCGGGGTCCCCTGACGCCAGCGCCTCGCCTTTGGGAGTTTGGGGGACTGCCGAGGCGGTTGCGGCTTTATGAATTCACAGCCCCCTCCGCCGCACCCTAACCCAGCCGCCCTTTTTTTCACCGCTGTATGCCTGCGACCTGGCCTTCCTAACCAGAGTCACCGCCTGACCCCTTGGCACCTCTGCCAGATCTCCGGGCCCTCACCCCCGACACACACATCCCCCGATTGAGGGAGATGATGACCCTTTGATTCCTGCCCCTCATCCCTCTGCCCGAAATAGAGGCCTGTCTGGTCCTGCAGCTTCTTCGAGTTAATGTTTGACAGTTCATTGTGGCTAATCATTTTAATTAGCTCTTAAAGTGGGGAGGAACAGTTAACCTTGGACTTCTCGATTTTTGGCCTGGTGGGGCCTCAAATGGGAGGAGTGCTGAGGAGCTGGGGAGGTAGGAGCAGAAGTGAGGTCACCACCCCAGGGCCTGAGCCACTACTGCTGGCCCCAGCAGCTGGTGGGCACACCCACTGGGGACTCAGCCGGGGAGAGCTGACCCCCGGCCTGAGTGCCAGGTTGGAGGGAGGTGATGGGAACAGATCTAGCACTCCTCCTGGGGGAGACGGGACACTTTGGCCCTGAAAATGCCCCGTGAACATGTATGCCCAGCCAGAATGCAAATCCCTCCTAGCTGTTAACTTACCCAAGGCTTTTCCAGTTACCAAGTGTTTTCTCAGCCATTAATTCAGCCCCCCTAGTACAAAAACAGCCCAGGAGGAGTGATTTTGAGTTCAGTGAGGACTGTCTGGGAGGACTTGCGATTCCTGCCAGCCAGCGCTGGGAAGGGGCTGCCCGGCATGTGGTTGTCTCTGAGGCCAGGTCCAAACCCTGGGATCTCTTATTTGGGGCGGGGAGGGGGGGACAGGAGGCAGGCTCCACGTTGCCACCCTCACCCAGCCTCTTGCTGTGAGCCGAAGGAGTGGCTTGTTTGCAACTATGTCTGGCATTCCTCCCTCTGCTGGGTGATGTTTGCTCCGTGGTTGCTCAGGAACTGGCGCCCACCGCTGGACAAGCCGGGGGCCCCAAATCCCACCCTCCCCCTGCCTAGCCCTAAGGGGTTGCAGCGGGGACTGGGTCTTCTCTGCCCTAGATTGGGATGTGAACATCAGGGTGCTGTGGTGTGTCTGTCAAGGGCCTGACAGCAAGTGCAGAATGCCTGGAGCCTGCGAAAGTTGGGACTTTCGGCCTGGAGACGTCCAGCCTCACACAGGCCGAAAGGATTGGTTTCCCAGCAAAACCTGGGCGCCTAAACTTGGCCTTGGAACTCTCCACCGCACCCTACCTCCCGACTTTTTCATTGTACCTCCAGGCCCTGGAATCAGAGCATTTGTATTGAAGTCGCAGCATCGTCACTTACTCACTCTGTGATCCAAATCACTTGTGTGCCTCAGTTTCCTCAGCTGTCAGACGAGACCTGCCTCATAAGGTGGTCATGAGGATCAAATGTCCAACTGCGTACAAGCTGGGTTTTAGACGAGTACACGGCATACAGCTACGTGTGAACCAGAAGTATGATGTTGTCTAATTCAGTGCCTGAAAGTCAGATTCGACCCTAACAAGCAGCTGCTGATATATATATATATATATATATATATATATTTATTTATTTATTTATTTGAAAGGCAGAGGCACAGAGAGAGAGAGAGAGAGAGACAGATTCTTCCATCTCTGGTTCACTCCCCAAATGGCCACAATGGCCAGAACTGGGCCAATCCGAAGCCAGGAGCCAGGAGCTTCTTCTGGGTCTCCCCCATGGGCAAGCGCAGGGGCCCAAGGAGTTGTGCCATCTTCCACTGCTTTCTCAGGCCACAGCAGAGAGCTGGATTGGAAGTGGAGCAGCCAGGACTCAAACTGGTGCACATATATGATGCTGGCACTGTAGGCGGTGGCTTTAGCTACCTTACAGTACTAGCCCCAAGTCATAAATATTAATAGCCATAATTGAAAGCTGGCCTCAAGCCCCTGAACCAGTGTGGGGATCCCAGGTGCTCTAGACTCGGGGGTGGGGGTTCTCTCCTTGCCTAAGGACCCCCTTTGGCTTCTGGTCTTGATCCCCCCTCCACACCACGCCCCAGGGGTCTGCCCTGGGATTTTCATGAACGAGAGTTGGGAAACTGGATTTCTCACAAGCTGCAGGTGGTATTATTTAGGGCGGCCCCCAAACACCCCTGGAGCCCCCTGGAGTGGCCGGGCTACTGCCCGCCACTGCCCCCAGACCTTCCTGAGGTCCCCCGCTGATCTGGGAAGGGCCGCAGGCAGCCATCTTTTCCTGACCCCAACCTGGGCCTGGTTCTCTGTCCTGGATTTTGAAGCTGCGAAGAGATTCCCAGCTGTACTTGCCCATGTATTTCCTTTATGGTTCTGAGACTGAAAAGTAGTTCTGCAGGGGAGAAAGGAAGCTCATGCGAGGTACCCAGAATCCCATGGGCGCTTTCCTAGGGGTCAGGGGCTTTTCTCATCAACACCAACCTGCCTGCAAATCTCCGGCCGCTGAGCCTCGTGCGTCCTGTAATAGCGGCCAGTGCTGCTAATGCCCTGTGCCTCGGGCCCCGGCGCTGGTTGCCAAGAAACTGCTGGTCGGGGTGCTTATGAGGGTTCTGACCTCCTAGGGGCTAGTGAGTTTCAATTCAGCAGACATTTATTAGCACCTACTGTGTGTCCAACCTGTGCTAGGCGCTGTGGGGAGCTGAGAGGAGGAGGCAGACGAGGTGACTAAGACACTGAAACAATCAGAGGCGAAGACAAGCAGCCAGGCCAGTGGCTGGTCAGGTGCTAATTGTGCTCCTTGGGGCAGAGGCCAGCACAGCCCGGACTTGTGAGGTCAGCAGCAGCTGGAGGAGGGAGGGCAGGCTTTATGAGGGATGCGGGCGCCAGCTAACCTTGAAGGGGGCTGGGGCCGCGAGGGGGAGACCAGGCTTAGCAGAAAAGGGAGAAAAGACGCCTTTTTCTCCATTCCCCAGCCACCGGCTGACCTTGGAAGCTGGGACCGTTGTTTGGCAAATGCATGTCACACAAAAGAGCAGGTCAGTGAGTGTGGGTGGCTCGGCAGGCGCACACCCTGCTGATCACCACTAGAGGAGTTGCGAAGTGACTGGCCCAGACAGAGCGCCCAGCCAGAACTGACAAGACATAGAGGTGGCCAGGCTTCCCTGCCACCCTTGCCAAGGGGTTTTCATTGTGAAAACCCCTCCCCAGCACACACACAGGCCCTGCAGGATGGGGAAGGACTGGGGGACCCCGCAGGGACAGCAAAACTGACCACAGGTATTCACGGCAGACATGGGCTGGCTGGCTGCCACCTTTCCCCGGGGGGGTTCTGGGACTTCTCGGGAAGGCCAGAGGTTCAGGTACAGGACCAAGCTTTGCAGAATAGCTCCTCCTCGGCCCGCTGGGACCTGAAAGCCAAAGACGTGCTCATGTTTCTGCCCAGACCACCAAGGACAAGCCATGTATTTGTTCTGCTGCTTTTGTGTCTCCCATGGCTAGGTGTGTGTGTGTGGGGGGAGGGGCATGGCATGGCTCTTATTGGGTTTAATTGGCTAAAGCATTCAGACACCTGCCCCCCAACACACACACACACACACACACATTCATTTGTGCTCTCTAGCTGCTCTCTTGACCCACCCCCTGCCCAGCACATCTCAACCCCAAAGGGACAAACCAGAGTACCCTGACTTCTTGGTTGGGAGATGGTGTCCTAAGGTGAGTGTATTGGCAGAGAGACCCCACTCTGCTCCCAGGGGTGAGGATGGGGGTCAGGAAGCAGGGAAGGGTATTCATGCAGAGAAAGTTCTGGAACATTTCTCCGAGAGGCTAACAAGAAGCCAGAGGTTAAGCAGCTTGCCTCGGCTGAGTAAGCTTTGGCCTGCCCTCCCACCTTCTCTACGGGTCTTTTTGTTGTTGTTGTTATCTCGCACTGGCACTTCCTGCCTCTGAGTCCACTTGCCCTTCCTGAAGGTTCCTTTCCTCTTCCAGCCTGACCCAATATCCGTCCCAAGAAGTGTTATTGTCCAGAGGAGGAAAGGCGCACATTCTGTGTTCCTAGCCCAGATCTGCCATTCAGCGGACATGTGGCCGCGGACTGGTGCATCTCGGTGCCCACA